ATATAATACGTAAATTAATTTTATAAATAAAACTTGTTTTTAAAATAGAGGGAAACATCTCTCTACTGTAAAGTACAACAAATATTGTAGCGATGAATAAATAAGTACTAAAGCGACGATTTATATAGAAATTACATTATATCTCCTTATTTTCTCAAAGCGGAAATCGAACCCGCGAACCCGAATATTGACTATATTTGTCAAAAAGTTAATTAGTAGTACATTTTACAATACGTATAATTATATTGTTAAGTGTTGTCCATAATAATATTCAGATTAGATGGCGATTTGAATAGTTAATTACTAGACGCTACGAGCTCAAGTACTAATGATGTTTTAGTTTAACGCTAATTATCGAGCCGTTTGTCATGGTAATGACGTGAGAGACCTTAATATCGCATTGACGTTTCGTAAACATATAGTACCTCGTGTGCTTTAAATATGCATGCTTTGATACCTAGATAATTTTCCTTTGACACACTTAGTGTTATAGCATATGCTTAAATAATAGTACGCCGCAGGCTCTAGGTTTGATTCCCGCGTGTGGTATAAGAACATAACAATTGATATTTAACTTTTAGTTTAAACAACAACTATACAGTATATAAACACAAATAATAATTATTATATAGTGACTCATAAACTAATAATTATGTGAACATTAATTACTTTTTGTATACAAATATAAGTTTTTTGTTTTACTGTATTCTTGAAAATATAGTATTTTTTATTGGAATAACTGAACATTATTGATGTGAAGTCAAAACGCTTCATACTGGACGATATATTACATCACTTTATTTGTTTGCGACAAGCGTCAATATAAAACTAATCGCAAAAGTTTAGACCATGATTTCCAGATGATGGTAAACTCAAAAACGTCATATATATGTAGAGTATTTAGCCCTTTTTAATGTCCGACAGCTGGTATCGGGCCTTCTACCAATACCAGGGGGATCAGGTCATAGTTCACCACGCTGGCCAAGTGCGGGCTAGCGGACTTAACATGCCTTTCGAAAACTTGTATGTTCTCTCATACATGCAGGTTTCCTTACGATATTTTACTTTACCGTAGGACAAGTGGTAAGCATATTGAAAATGATTCGCATATGAGAATATGTGAGACCAGAGATTCGAACTCACTTCACTTGGTTTCCCAAGCGTGCCGTGACAACCTACCGAGCTATCACTGTATTTTACGTCATAATTATAATTTGAATTTGTGCTTCATATGATGAATTGTCCACATGAACCTACTCAACGTTATTTGTGCACTAATCATCTTTTCGAAAATTCATAGGATGCCACAATACAGGATAAACAATTATTTGATTAACAATCTAACCTAATACGAGTCACGCCGCGTGTAAAAGTAAGTGCAATATAACAACACAGTATTGACTTTATATTAGGACCTAAAATGAGAAAACAATTTCACCTCAGGTTGTGGTCTAATGTACGCGTTAAATGAAAATTTGTTCCGGAAACTTGGCAACAATATCAGATGATAATTAAGCTAGTGTTAATCTACGCTCTTCGTTGTTTTAATGTCCTTTCAAATTGTGAGTCGTAAACATTAAGTATAAAAATATTGTCATTAGTGCCGGAAGTATTATGTAATTTCTTTATGCATATACGACACGTTTCACTCAGTTTGTAGTGAGCCTATTTGCTTTGCTAGCGATCGCGGGTTCGAGTCCCACTGGTGGCATTCATTTGTGTGATAAGCACGACTGTTTGTACTCCAGTCATAGGTGCTTATATTTTTATAATATATATGTATTTAAAGTAATACATATTAATATGTGTGATGTATCAACTATCTGGTATGCATAACACAAGCCTCGTAGCTTACCATGGAACTAGATGGTGCTGTGAGTTAGTGTCCCAACACATTTATTTACTTATTATTTATATATGTACATATATAATAATAAAAATAATTTATTGCCATTTTTGAATTTTTGAAATCATTTTTGTAATATAGTGGGTAGGCACTGTCTGTAACAAGTATGTGTTTGAGACGTCTATAACCTTAGTCTCTACCGTGACCATGATTGCTGTAAAGCATTCGAAACGTCGGGAACCAAAAATCAAAATAAATCCGCGAAATAATCCGAAAAGATAGTTTATTTTTTAAATGTCAAATAGTCGCGTAAATCAAAGAAAGTATTAAAAATATATTATGAATACTAAATAAGTATTTTATATATTGAAAATTTTTATTATGTTTATTTATAATTAGTTTTAATGACTGGTATTTTATGCACCTTTCCGATCTTTTCACTTTTTGTATCCTTTTTAATCGATAGATTGCTTGTAAGATATCACTTATTAGACACTTAAGCACACCTCTTTGATTGTATTTCTTAATGTACCATTTTTGTGTGCAATAAAGTGTTATAAATTAAAAAAAATGTCGCTTTTAAAAATATTATAGTTATCTACGAAAATGCTATATATCTATATCTTGCTTGCAAAACAGCGTCATTATTTAAATTTTTATTTACTTTTCAGCTAATATATAAGACTATATACAAAATACAAAAAAAGAGAGGCCCGTCCCAGCAGTAGGAGATAAAAAAGTGGGCTGAATCATACTATAAACATTATATAACTAATAAAATTAAAATAAAAAAAAACTCAACACAACCTATTGATTAAGGCCATTATTTTAGTAAAGAGTTGATTATTTTGCAGGCCTCAGATGACGCTGCAGCATCAGGCCAAGGTTACCATATCATTGCAATATCATTTAAGTAAGAGAAACCAAGTTTCAAATCAAATGTTTACTATTGATCTTACAACAAATAGCCAGTTATTAAGCTGCCCAATGAAACTCCTAACCGTTTAACAAAAGAATAATTCAGAAGTCACTACAAGTTTTGTTTTTTTTTCCGCTTGTAAGCTTTTTATATGGAAAGTTTTCTATCGAAGGTCAAAGTGTAAATTACCTTCTCCGGATATTATAAAACTTCAACAAGGCTTACCCAATAAAAGTAAAGATAGATACAACTTAAACGAATATGTAGTTTACAAAGAACTTGCAATATGTTCGGGTATAAGCAAAGAACGGGTTGTATGGTCTAAAATAACTTGAATATCTAATATTTGCCTTATTTTAATTTACGTTAATAATGAAATAAATGAAATGTAACTCGGTGATATTTAAAATAGCAACTGTTGAATTTGTCGCCGCCTCTTCTCAGAACTGCTTTTCGAGCCGGTGGTAGCTTCCTCACGGACTGACTACGCTGACGATCTTTAAATTAAATTGATGATTTATAAGTGTTTGTAAAAGTTTAATTAAATAAAGTTTAATTTCATTCATTCATGTGAAATAAAAATCTGAATATTTCATTCAGATTTTTATTTAGATTTTGATACGGACGGACGGACGGACGAACGGACAGACGAACAGACGGACGGACAGACAGACAGACAAAAATTCTAAAAACTATAGATTCGGCCTCTGTATTGATAATAATGGCTATTTCAATAACATTTTCCAAAAAATATTTAATGTACAGATTCGGCTCAGTTACAATTTTATTATATGTAAAGATTTTTTTAAATCATTTCATTTCATATATCATATATATATATATATATATATATATATATATATATATATATATATATTCATCATATATTATGTAATTGTTTATAAATGTAAAGTTGGTAATTACTTTATATATTAATAATAAAAAAAATCATCAAAAAGAACTATTGTAATTTTTCAATAATTATATTAAACATATTTTGATAAAACTCCATTTCTTATAACTTGTACCATATTTAAATGGGAAGAGTTGGCTGGGTAATGGCGGGTGCAAAGTTTTTCCAAGAGTCCGACGGTTAGCAATAATATCCCTTATCCATGCATCCACTTAAGGGAAAATCTAATAAATATAACAATAAAGGTAACCTATATTTGTTTAATTCAATTTGTATTTGAATATTTTGTTTGTATTTAATTCGGAGCTTTTATTAAGTGAGCTTCGAAAAGCATCGTCTCTCTTTATTTATATTTTAAATTCACTGATATTATTCATGCGAAAGTTTATATGCTTGATTATTATATATGTTACTTTTTATCGACATACCACGCGAGTGAAGCTGTGTATGAAAACAAGTAACTAATACAAATTATAATATTTTTTTATCGCGGTTTTATTTTAAAATTTTTTGTTCCTAATATTCGAATTAATTTTACTGGAAACATGGTCACAGGACAGACTAAGGTTGTAGACGACTCAATATTGCAGACGGTGTCTACCCTCAAGATTCATATAATAATTTGGAAGAAATAAAAAAAAACTAGAAAAGAAGGAATTTTTTTGCTAATTCCTTCTTTTCTAGTTTTTTTTTTATTTCTTCCAAATTATTAAGAGAAAATAATAAATTAACACTTTGGCTCAGTTTGTAGTCATCCTACTTGCTATACCAGCGGTCACGGGTTCGGGTCCCGCTGGGGTCATTCATTTGTGTGATGTGCACAAATGTTTGTACTCCAGTCATGGGTTTTTATATTTATAATATGTTTGTATTTAAAGTAATATATCGTCGTTGATACTGCAATACCGCGGAACCAACAGTGGTCAATACCGCGGAACTACAAAAAAATCAAAATTGAGATTTCGCGCATATATGCTCTTGATAGTGATTGGCTTCGCCTCGTGTCGTCAGGTGAGCGCGTTATCCACTCAAAACGCTAGAAACGACACTAGCCAAAACCGCGAGAGCAGCTCTCACACGAGAGTGTAACTTTAATACCGCGTACCTGCGCCACATGTTATAGAACGCATGGTCGTTTTGTTTGCGGTTCGTGAATATGAATGTTATTTTGAAGAAATATTGGACTTGCGGGTAAGTAAATGTTAATTTTTGGTTGATAAATAAGTTAGTTATTCACTGAAAGACTGGTATTTTCAAGATTATAATATTATTTAACTTTATTGATGACTTTGATTCGTTTCCGGAACAAAATTTAGAGGGAGATGCATCAAAAGCACCGTGAAACTTGGAGAAGAGAATTAAACAAGAAAAATAGGATGTTAGGAAAAGTATATATTGAGTTTAGAAAAGTTAATAATAAGTATGTTCAAAAAGAATCAAAACCTCAGAGGGCTATGGGCCCTAAGTGCAGTTCGTCATTTTGTGCTCGTAGTAAAGTTCTATTTTGTTCCAATTTGACTGAGGACATTCAACAACAGATTATTGAACGTTTCTGGAGCATGGCGTGGAAAGAGAATAAAATGTATGTACGGTCGATGGTTGACACAGAAAGTGTAAAAAGGAAGACGATAGGAAGTAAATCTAGACGGTCGGAAACAAGATTATATTACCTGCAAATACACGGTAAGAAGGAAAGAGTTTGCTTGAAAACATTTCTGGCGACACTAGATATAAAGGAGTGGACTGTTCGCTACTGGCTTCGTGGAAGAGCAGATGATAATTCTGTTCACACTATTTTGTCTCCAAGTTCGCCTACTTCTAAATGAAATTCTGTAAAAAGTTACCTGAGCTTATTGCCCAAATTGCCGTCACATTATTGCCGCCAAACAAGCACAAAACAGTACGTGGAACCTATAATACAATCTAAGTCACAGTTGTATAACTTATATGTCGAATATGCCTCGTCAGCATCTAAGCTAGTAGCTTCGAGAAAGCTCTTTTTTGACATACTTGTGGAGCAAAATATCGCCTTGTTTCTAGCTGAAAAAGATGCTTGTGACTATTGCTGTTCATACAAGGCAGGTAACGTTCGGGAGGAAGATTACCACCGCCACATCCAGCTGAAAAACTTAACTCGATCCGAAAAGACAAAGAACTTGCAAAACTTGGGCAATATCATACCATAACTGCTGATTTGCTCTAAAACTATGTCCTTCTCTATCGGCTAGTGCATTGTATTTTAAGACCAAGTTAGCGGTACATAGCTTCACTGTTTATAATCTAGGTACAGATGACGTTACGTGTTATTGGTTCAATGAAACAACCTGTGATCTAAAAGCTACAACCTATGCTTCGTTTTTCGTAGATTATCTGACAAACTTGTTAAATGAAAATCTTAAAGATGTAGTTATATGGACTGACGGATGCAGTGCTCAAAACAGATACACTGTTGTTTCTAACGCTCTTCTTAGACTAGAAATGGATAAAAATGTTACAATTACACAAAAATACCTCGAAAAAGGACACACGCAAATTTAGGTAGATTCGGTCCATTCACTTATTGAAAGAAAACTCAAAAATATTGAAATTTTCTTGCCATCACAGTATGCTTCTTTGACTAAAGAGGCCAGAAAAAACCTTTTCCTTATAAAGTTAAACAACCAGATCATAGCTTTATCAAACTACAGCGTCAAAGAGTACCAAATTTATGACTCTTCAAGGCATATCCTATTATAATTGATGTTACTAGATTTTGATATAGTTTAATTTTTGTTTCTGGAGTTTAATAATTTAAGTTTTTAATTTTGTTTCTACAGTTTATTTGTATGTTTTTTATTACGTGGTATCATTATTGGTCCTAAAGGTACTTTTTTCTACTTCTTATGTTAGTAAAAATGTAGTTCATAACGATTGACATTTTGAGACTGATGTATCTGAGATATAATAATTATTATTCATTAAGTAAACTTAAGTAATAAATGATCCTTATAATACATAATTTTTATTTTTATGCTTTTTGTAATTACGCGTAACTACTAAAAATGCTCAAGTGCGACTCATTTTTGAACATGCAATAGCGAGAAAGTGTATTTTTTAATCGAATAGTGAATTTAACAACTTAAGAACCCTAATAGAAAATAAAATACATAAATTTAAATACATTTTACAGTTCAGTCGGCAAAAGATGCAGTAATAATGAAAATATTAAGTTTTTTCTCTCTGCTGTAGAATTTATCACTACCAAGTTACGCGGTTTTAGCCATTGTTGGTTACGCGATATTGCAGTATCAACGACGATATGTGTAGTATATCAACTATCTGGTATCCATAACACAAGCCTCGTAGCTTACCATGGATCTATATGGTGCTGTGTGTTAATGTCCCAACATATTTATATTTATTTTGGCCGTCTTCAAAGAAAGATAGCGTACTTTTAATAAAAAGCAAATAATTAGTGTAGGTAAATATTGAGTGACCTCAGTCCCCTGGCATGACTCCAAGGAGACCCCTGGCAATCGGCAATGTAAGATACAATCGGTAAGGTTGCGCTTTACATAATGCATTCGTACTACGATAGCGCTAAAATATATGACCATGAGTGACCGTCGTTGGATAAGCGAAGCGATAACTAGCTATATTTTTACAAGTTTTTATTTAATTTGCAATGTTTGTTAGTTGGTATCTTTGTTTGGATCAAATATAAATTAGAACAACTTCCTCTTTTGTTACAGAATTGAAATATTACATGTTGATTCAGTTCGATGACAATAAATTTTTATCATAATATTATGACCTGATTCTCCGCCATCTAGGATTTGCTCCAAACGAAACAACTCCTTTGCTTTTTATCAACCGACTTCAAAAAGGAGGAGGTTCTCAATTCGACTGTATTTTTTTTACTCATAAAATTATTATAGCCAGTTATAAAATCCTAAACTTAAGACCATTAAAATAAAATGTTTTTACTATTTATTTATTCTGTAAAAGATTGGATTTAAAATAAGTAGTATTATTTAATTTATTTAATACAATATTTTAAGGAATCAGAAATTCGACGTAAATAAAAAGAGGTCAAATTCAATTGAAAAGAACTTAAATTAATTCAAATAATAGCAAATCACTCCGACCGCCTCATCGCATGAGAGCTTCATTGACCGTGAATAGCCTCTCTTTGACAAGCGGCGGCTATTGACACGAGGCTATTGAGGCGGCCATCATAATACTTATAGCAGTGGCACTGTCGCCAAATTCCATATAAAAATTAAAACTCAAAGTATTCTAACAAATATAGGTATCTAATAAATATTTTATGTTCACTCACTGACAGACAACGTAAAGCCTAAGTAAAGATTAGTCATAATAATTTAAAAAAATGTATAATACAGAAAATTAATAAATCATAATCATATGTATATAAAAAAATCAGTTAAAATTATTAGAAATAACTCAAGGCAACTATTAGCTCTTAATTCCTAAAAAAGGATAATGTGATAAACTAAATAAGTATAAAAGTGACAAATAAGACGAAAAAAATTTCTGACCACTATGTCAGAAGTTGCTAGATTTGGGATTCAATAACTTTTGACTCTTTTGTTTCCTAAAAATATTTTTCATATATTTGGACTCTCTATCACCTCCCCTATCCAAAAATGCCACCAACTCCTCCAGGGGCCGCATCCCATATATAAACTGCAGCTAAAAAAAATATTTCTTCTAAAGTTCAATGGAAAAAACTATCAGATTAATTGTAAAATATAAATAATATCGATTCATTGTCCCTTTGTGTTTCTACGTTCCCTGGTGAGGTAGAGGGCATCCACAGTGCATCAACATCCCGTTCGGTCTTGAGCTTCGCGTTTGATTTCGCTCCAGGTTTTGCCGATCGCCTTCGCTTCACGATTGCGTTTTCCAGTCCAGGGATTGCGTCGGTATTAATTGGATCCCTTCGAAGAGTGTGACCTAATCAGTTCCATTTACGGAGTTTAATCTGCTGGGTGTTCGTTAAAATTTTTGTCGAATCAGTAAATACCGAAAATTTTGCGACGGCATCGGTTCACGAAGATTTGGAGCTGCTGCTAGATATTCTTAGTCCTTCCATGTCTCACACCCGTATGGCAGTACGGTCTTCACGTTAGACCAGAAGATTTACCACTATATAAAAATATTTGAAACAAATTCAATGTGCCCCTTTAATATAGACTATTTAATACTTAGTATTATTATTTTTTCACACTCTTAAGTAATTCTTAAGAGGTCTAGACGTGATAAGTGTTTATATACTCTATAATAATACACAGATTATTTTTAACCTACACAATAATCTTTTGTAATTTAAATAACAAAGCCCTATTATATTATGTTCTTAAAATATTACTAAGAAGTACGAGTTTCTCTATTAGATTTAGTTACGTAGCGTGACTTTAGAGCTGCAGCAATCGGGTGCAATGTTAGATGGTATCGTAAAGGTTGTGCTTTACATAATGCATTCATGCTCCCTCGATAAGGCAGTTAAATTTGTAGTGCTAGGGACAAACGTTCACTGATAGAGATAGGCGATAGCTAACAGATTTTTTATGTAACTCAACAATTTATAGTCATAGATTCGATTACCAATTAAAGAAAAATCCATACTACTTACAAATGTAATATTATTAATGGGAACGTTTGTGAGGATGAATGTGGATGTGGTCAACTTCAAGATACTACGATATTTTAACTCCCAATCTGATGCAATCTATTGTATAAAAGGTTATTAATATTAAATTCTATGTATTTTACAATCAGTAAGCTCGCCGGAGCTTTGCGACTACTTGCCAAAACTTAGCGCATAAATTGCTAAATAGTTTAACTTGGACGTCTTCATAATTCATTTATAGTTTGAGTAAATGACCTGAGTACCTATTTAGATTTTTATCCTGCAGGAGATTTGATGTTAGAGATCTTTAATAATAATAATTTATTGAGCAATAAAACATATAAACAGTAAACAATATGACATACAAAAACAAACATACATATACTATTAGACAGTTTTTTTTTGTTATCATGTCCCAAATATCTTTTTTATTAATTATTATTATACTTAGAGTATTTTATAGAGTTATAGATTTTATTTTTTTAATTTTAATCGGTATTATACTAATATTAAAAAGAGGTGAAGTTTGTGAGTTTATTAGGTTGTAGAGGGTAATCTCTGGATCTACTGAACTGATTTAGATGACATTTGGTAAGAATATAGTTTGAGAACCTGGGAAGGACATGGAATACTTTTGACTTAACTGCTACTAAAAATAAATACTAATAAAAAGCCAGTATCTATAATTTTTTTGTAGCCTCGAAATTCCAGGTACTATGAGTACTTATGTGCTAAATTTTATCCAAATGAGTCTAGCCGTTTGTGCGTTAAGAAGTAACAAACATATAAATATTGGTATTTATAACACTAATGTATTTTTTTTAATTGAGTTTCCTTGGTTTCTTTATCTGCATTACCGTCGTGGACCACGTTACAGCTTGTCAGAGATTAATGGCTGCCAAGTCAAAGCGAAGATTCACGGATTTGCTACATAAAGAACATATTGTATTGGAAATGGTATGAGATGTGCTTTTTCACGTGGATATTTTCATACTTATATGAGCGAGAAATTATAAGAAAAAAAATGCATTTGCAAGCAAAAAATATATGTTTAAAAACATATTATATTAATCAGGGCATTTCCTATTTTTTAAAATCTACAAAAGAACTTTTTATTCCGAAGAAAGCAAAAGGTTTCCTATCGATAAAGACTTTTTAATGATAATTTTAAAAACACCTATGACAATG